AAGTTTCGGATCGATGTGTTGTGTGAGGCAAGTTGGGAATCCGAATCGACATTCTTTTCCATCATTTACTTGAACATGTTCTCAATACGTCCCATCTCATTGTTTGAAGAACTTGGACCATGGGAAGGATAAGGAGGCGGGTTGCTCGGTTGTTGATACATTGGGGGCCTTTAAAAACCCGACCCCCAATTGCCTTGATTATTGTTCCATCCGCCTTGATTGTCCCCCCCCCCCCCAATTTCATTGATTATTGCCACTCCAATTTCCTTGATTGTTGTTGTTATGCCAATTCTCTTGATTGTTTCCACCATTCCAATTTCCTTGGTTGTTAGAATTCCAATTGCCTCCAATTTCCTTGATTGTTGTTGTTATGCCAATTCTCTTGATTGTTACCACCATTCCTATTTCCTTAGTTGTTAGAATTCCATTTGCCTTGATTGTTTTGAGGTCGCCATTGTTGTTGGTTTGGTCCTTGGAAGTTGTTTCGTTGCCTTTGAAAGTTGTTCACATATTGCACCTCCTCTTCTTGTTCATTGTAAGAATCATCTTGATCAAAACCACTTTCCTCTTGCACATAATTCTCCACTCAATGTTGCACTTGTGGACCCTTGGTCCTTGTTTTGTTCACCATCATGTTCACTCCCTCCATGGCATTGACTTGCTTAGGATTTTGCACTTGTTGAAGTTGAGCCTTTGCTAATTGATTCATGGTGGTAGTCAATTCGGCAATGGCTTGCCCATAGTCATGCAACTCTTTGTGAAGGATCATGTTGGGATCACCTTGTGGAACATTAGCTCAGAATTGCCACGCCGATGATGTTTCCTCCATTTCATCTAAAATCTCACACACCTCCGCATAAGGCATAGTCATGAAATTCCCACCAGTAAGTTGATTCACTACACATTGGTTGGTTGTGTTAATCCTACGATAAAAAGTTTGTAGATCATTTGCCTCTTGTTTGAATGCCAAAATTTCATCCCGTAGTGTAGCCATGTGCCCCGGAGAGAAGAACTTAGAAATAAACTTTTCCGCCAACTCATCCCAAGTGTGAATGGAATGGTTCAGCAAATGTTCCAACCAATCTAAAGCTTCCCCCGTAGAGAGAAGGGAAAAAACACTAGCCTCAATGCATCCTCGGAGACATTTGTTTGTTTGCTCCCCCAACATGTGTCCACCAACCCCTCCAAATGTTTGTATGCATTTTGACTTGGAGCCCGGGTGAAGAAACCTCGTTGCTCTAGCAAAGTGAGCATCACCTTGATGATTTGAAAGTTGCCCGACCTAATACGGGTAGGGACTATTGCACTCGCATATCCTTCATTGGGTAACACCCGGTGTGGAGCCGCTCGTGGTGGAGGTGGGGGTGGAGCGGGGACATTGTCATGAGGCACTCGGCCTCTTCTATTGGCTTGAGGTTAAAGAGGAACCTCATCAACTTGCTCATCCTCAACGTCCACATCCCCCAAAGCAATATTTCCGAGCTCATTGTTTGCCGCCATAATTGTACCTAAAAAATTTTCACACAAGTTAGTAACAAAGGAAGGAAAAGAAAATAGTCCAAAAACAAACCCAAATATATAGCTAACACCATGTTTAACTCCCCAGAAACGGCGCTAAAAATTGATCACATCCAAAGTGCACCTCAAAAGAGATATGAAACGGCCGTATGCAATAATAGAAACCCAAATAAGAGTCGGGGTCGAATCCACAAGGAGCTAAGATGGGAGTTAGGTGTATATATTTCAAATGAGCAATTGGAGTATCTAGATTGCACTTCCACGACAAGGATTTGTTTTCTATTTCTAATGTTACTCTAATGATTGTAAAATAAAGAAACGAGACTAGAGATAATTGTTTTTAAGGTTTTTCCAAAAGGATAAAAAGCCTAGGGCTGTGATCATGACCTAGGTGTTTCCCTAATGGAATAAAGACTTTATTGCTTGTTTCGTTGATTGAGGTGTATTATAGTTATCAACTCTAATTTACCCACTCAATACCTCTCGGTCAGAGAGTGATTTTTCCCGATTTAGCTTTCTCAAGACCGAATGGGTATCACACAGAACAGTTGATAATAGCTCAAGTCGAGTTATTACTATCTCTAGGTTGAACCCTTAATTGGGCTAATCAATCTCTCAATTGACTCAATTCCCTGTTAGCTAAGTTATCCTAGACTAGATCTCTCTTTCTCAAGTTGAGACTAAGTCAAATAGGCATGAATCAATTTTTGCAACCATTAATCTAGAATTGAAGCATGAACTAAGCTAAATAATCAACACCAACCATAAAATTAATCACCCAAAAGGTTTACACACTAGGGCTGGGTGATAACCCTAGTAAAAATCTAGCTACTCAAAGTGGGTATTGAAGTAAATAAAGAAGAAAAGCTAATAAAACTCATAATGGTAGATTAAAATAATAAAATCTAATGATAAAATGTTCAAATAAGCTAAAACTTCCTATAATAGCAAAGAGAAACGGCTACAGCAACTTCAGATGTTCCAACTTGACCTAATTTTGTGAAACTCGTCTATTTATACAAGGCTAAAAATCTCAGACAAAAATGCCACTCGGGAGGTTCTGCGGCCGCACAATTCCATGTGCGGTCTGCGGATTATTTAATACGGCCGCGAGGCATTCTTCTGCGATCGCAAATTTCTGGATTGCGGGCGCATGCCATCACTTTTGTGGTCCGTACAATTAGGACTGCGGCTGCACAAATCTTGTGCGGTCCGCAATTCACAGAAGCTCCTGGACTTGGTCTTTTTGTATACTCTCTTATCTTCGACTATTAGCCCAGTTTTGTGGCCGCACAATTCATGTGCGGTGCGAACTTTGCGCAAATGTCTTCTAAATTTTTCCTCTTTATTTGCGGCCGCAGATGAAATTCTATGGTCCGCAATTTCTTCTGAGGACCGCACATTTGTGCTTCTGCGCCCTTTATTGCCTTGTGCTTCGGACTACTCCTTTTTTAGTCGGATTTCATCTTGGGAGACCAACTTCCAGCATTCCTACAATTTTGCACAATTTTATTAGTTTCGTGAACACAATTCAATGCTTTTAGACTAAAATAAATGCTAAAAGGCGCTGATAAGCAATCAAAATACCCATTTATCAGGGGGCATACATACAAACAAGGAGATCAGTTACAGGGTACTTAGTAAAATTTGGCAATGCATTAATGTCCTGGAAGTCTAAGAAGCAAAGTATTGTCTCTAGAAGTTCAGCAGAAGCAGAGTTTAGAAGTATGGCATCTTGTGCAGCAGAGGTTACATGGTTAACAGGGATGTCCAGTGAGCTAGGTATCAAGATTGAGCTGCCTGTAACTCTTATATGTGATAGCAAAGTTGCCAATCCAATATTTCATGAGAGAACAAAATATATTGACATAGATTGTCATTTTGTGAGGGAAAAGCTAAGTCAAGGACTGCTGAAAACTGAGTAAGTGAATACAGAAGATCAACTAACAAACTTACTCACAAAGTGTCTAGGAAAAGCTCAACATGAATACTTACTGAACAAAATGGGACTGAAGAACTTGTTTGAATCATAGCTTGAGGGGGAGTGTTGGCTAGCAGCTTCAATATCTATGGCCTTGAATATCAGAGAAAAAAAGGTATTTACATATGCATCGACTGATCGACAAGTGAAATAATCTGAATTAAATCATTTCTTATTGTAAAAAACAATAATAAGAAAACAAGTGGATATATTGTAGTGAGTAGTGACCAAGTCGGGGCGCATATATTTGTACTAGTACAAAATTAGTACTCTTTTCTCAAGAAAAAGGAAAACATAGAAGAGGAAGCAATTAGGGGTGGGCATAATTTGGGCAAACCCGAAATCCAAACCGAAACCCAAATTTTTTAGATTTTTGGTTTGGATTTTCGGATTACGGATTGAATTTTGGATTTAATTTTTAAACTTTTTGGATTCCGGATTGGATGTTGGATTTGGTACTTTGGATTTTTGGATATCCGAAAATCCAAAAATTTTATACTTTATATTTAGTCCATTATCTATATGTCAATAATAATAAGCTAAATACCCTATCCATTAGATATTATTTCGTATATGCAGTATTAATTATTAAGTTACCGTCAGAATACTTTCTATTTGGACATGGTTTTACTATTACTACTTCTCATCGGCCGTATTAATGTCTCTGTTGTATTTTCTTGATAGTAATTTCATTACTTGAATACTTTATTTGGATGATTGCGGTGAGAGTGAGTAACTTTTCATGCAATTTAATATGAGTACTTCATTTGGATATTCATTTTTGTAAAAAGAAGAAACATGTCAACTTATAAGCTCAAAACCGAAAATCCAAAATATCCAACCCGATTAATCCGAAATCGAACTTAAAAAATTCGATCCAATCCGAGCTTATTTGGGTTGGATTTGGATTGTCATTTCTTCAATCCGAAAACCAAAAATCCAAACCGAAATTCTATATTTAATCCGAACGTCCACCCCTAGAAGCAATAATAAGTCGCAATGTGTAGCTAGGTCAAACCATCTAGTATTATATAACATTAATTAACCTTAATATTTTACCAAAAATAACATTAATTAAGCTAATATTTTACCAACCCTCTTCTCTTATTCTTTATGTTTCTTGTTTTCCAAATATCAGAATAGAGGCCTCCATATGTTGCTATTAGAAAGCCAAATCAACAAAACAAATGTGTCTCAACAAATAGGAAAAGCACCTTTCAACTCTAATAATTTGCCATTTCACACTTGACAAGATCCTCCTCCTTCCCTATAAAAATATGTCATTCACATCCCAATTTAGTTGTGTATAAAAAACTAGCTACTAACACAAGCACACATACAACAACTTCACAATTCACCATTCTTGTTTATTGCACGGGTCGATACACACAACCTCTGTTAACCATCATTTACGATTAGGACTACTGGAATATCTAATCTCATTCGCGCCCCTATCTTTTGTCTCGATAACAAATTAAGCATACAAATACACAGAAAAACAATGGCCAGAAAGAGAAAAGCTGAAGGAGTATTAAATGCGAAAACTCATGATGATCAAGGGAATGCAGCAGCCTGGAACGAGATGGTAAAGGAAGCAGATGGTGCAGCCACACAAAGCGGTGCTCAACGAGCCCTAAATAGATATGTTGGGGTTAGACAAAGGCCATCAGGTAGATGGGTTTCTGAAATAAAAGACACTATACAGAAAATAAGAGTGTGGCTTGGAACTTTTGACACTGCTGAGGAAGCAGCAAGAGCATACGATGAAGCTGCTTGCTTACTTCGTGGACCCAATACTCAGTACAAATTTCTGGCCTTGTTCTTTATCCAATTCTTCTTCCACTTCAGCTTTGCCACCCAAAATCACTAATATTCTTCTTACCAGGTGTTTACCCTGGAATCCGGATAACAATTGAATTTATATGGGGTTTTAAGGATCCGTGAACTAAAAGATACAAAAGGTTTGGATTGAGGAAAATAAAAGATAAAGACTCAACAATTGCTGTTAAAGTAAATAATCGCAGAATATAATATTGCTTAGAACAATTGTGCTTGATAGCGTACAAGAATTGAGAGAGATGGTACTGTAGTGTAATGGTTTCCGATCCCCTCTTTATGGGGTCTTCTCCCTTTTTATACATTCTGATTAAGGGTAAAAATAAGGTAGGTAAATTAATTACATCGTGGATCCCTGTAATTACGCCTTAATGGCCTGAAGTGGTTGAGAAAATCACGTTTGGGCGAGATATCCGGCGACGCTTGGTTATCCGTTACGAGTCCGGCTTCCGACCTTGTGTGTTTCTCCATCCGGTGGTGACTCATATCGAGCTCTGCAACGGTCTCGAAATGACTCGACCTCGGTTGTTGACGTGGCCGTCGTTCTACCTTGCATCCAGGTCGGGTTCGATGGCCCCGACTTGCCCCGGACCGGACCCAACCCGGTCGGGCTCAAGCAAAAAGGGTATCACCCAATACAGATAGTCCCCTCGTTTATTAGAGAGTAATGATAATAAACGATATGATCAGTGACGTGATGCCCGGGACGTATGGCCATACGCCAGCTGAAAAAGCCATCGAGTGCTCTGACCACGTCTGCTGCAGGCATTTAATGCTTCTCTTAATTATCTGTCGCTTCGTGTCTGTAACTTCGCGATTCGTGCCGCCGCCTCATGGGAAAAGTATAAACGACCCTTCCAGGTTCAACATTTCTTATCTTTCTCAAATTTTGCGTTGGTTGTATTTTCTTTTCATCTCTTCGTAAAGCTTCAAGAAATGGCGAAAACTTCACAAAGTGTTCCTTCTAGACCAAGCTCGGCCGTGAGCCCCGCTAGATCTGATGAACCTGCGCCAGAACCCCCATTGAAAGCTTTCACACCGACTGGTTGCTCGGTATCTGCCGACTTCCAGGTTGAGAACCCATCATCGGTCCCGGGCCGCGGCGAACCGGCATCGGAGTATATCAGCCTAATCACTCCCGGTTGCCTAGACCGGGTGAGGGCTGAATGTAGATGGGAAGGGAAAGACCCGGTCGCCCCTTCCCGTGACGAGTCGATTATGACTCACGTTGAAGGGTATCTTAGTGTATATACATACCCCTTCACCTTAGGCCCCTTAGAACCCATTATAGTGGAGTTCTGCCGGCGGTACGAGGTGACCTTAGGTCA